GTTAAGCACAAAGCTACACAATGAGATGTCTGTGCTGTACCCACAACGGGTATCGAAACCCGGTCTTACATCGCTGCCTCACTGGGGGACTTTTATCGGTCATAATCAGATGTATTTTGAAAACGTCTAAAACTAATTTTTGCGCTAGTTTTATCATTTTCAGTTTCTTTTGTCGTCGAGAGTAGCGTAAAAACCAACAAAAACTAGCAAACTTTTTCCCACACCCTATGTATATAATAACTATGATATTGAACTAAACTTGGTTGTAAAATGTAGCCTCTGTCCCATACCCTATATATATAACAACTATGATATTGAACTCAACTTGTTTGTAAAATGTAGCCTCTGTATCTATACACACACACACACAAGTAAAAAAAAAAAAAAACTTTTCAAAAAAGGAAGTAAATGTAAGGATGATTAACATCAAACCTTCGGAAACAATGTAAACAAGATAGTAGGGATGACATTTACATCATCCCTACATAATAACACATATAATATTTATATAGATGGCGCGTCTATGTAAGCTTCTTTAATAAATATATACAAATGTAAATTTCAAAACCAGGTTTTAGGAACAGAAATTATTTTCATTCCAAAAATTAATTCCTTTAAAAGTTAGTTGTATTTAAAATTATCAAAAATATATTTTTGGGCTGTTATAAGGATTTTATGCCATACCCAAGTAGAATTTTTATATTTTGCAAAACTTTAGGGTATTGGCAAAATATTTTATTCTAAACTTCAGAAATATGTTTTTTCCCTACGATGAGATATTTTAAAAATCCAAACACTTTGTGTCATTTATAAACTTCAATAGGTTTCTTAATTGCAAAGTCGCACACAATTCATGCCTGCCTTTAACAACACAATTTGCTTTCCCTTTTGTAGATACAAGTAATGATCAGTTTTTTTTTTTTTTATCTCAGCTCCAAAAGTCAAGAGCCCCAGGTTCCTTGTTCTTTTAATACGACCCTGGATAAGTCGATTCCTAGGGTTTAGATGTAATAGTCCCTAATTTTTTCGCTGACTAGAGGAAAGGAGCGAATCCAACACCACCCGCCGCTACAAGGACTTTGTCTAGCTCTTTGAACAGAATAACGTGTCCGTAGCTGAAAGTGGGGCGTGTTTCAGCGGTCTGTACGTACCAGACTTTTCGATCAACCAACCACTAGATCAAGCCCAACCCTTCTTTATATAGGAAACCCATCACAATAAATACCAAACAAAACAATGCCAAATTTAAAAATAACACAAGTTTTGCACTTCTTGGTCACTCTTCAAGTGAAAGTATATCCAAATGATTGGTCACAGTCCAATAAGTTTAATGTATGTATTATTGGAAATCCAGAAGTTAACAGTTCCTTTATTTGGATTGATATGCTGAGTGAAAATTTTGTTACATTATTGTTATACATTTTGCTGATATTTTATAGGAATTGAAAGTATTTGTTAATTAAGTACCACCTTCGGTTATGTAATGTCATGTTCTAGCTTTTACCCCGATTAAAATTTCACACCCAAGAGCTGAATCTGTGATCGAACAGATATTAACTTACTATTGGTGCTATTATTATTTGTCTACATACTTCTGTTTATACACGCCCATCTTTTTTAAAGATATTTAATGTTAACAACTCTATATTATGTTGTACAATATTATTGTATACTTAAGGAAGTTAATTTTTTACAAGTTCAATACATTCCTTATTATAATTATAAACGCTTCACAAAATGAGCATCTATTTATACCCTGTTACTTTTGTATCGTACACTAGTTTCTCAGAGCACTGGCACAATGTTTATACATAAGTTGGCCATCTAGGGCATTTTAAGAACTCTAGGTGCATTCAACTAACTTTATATTTTTTTTTATTAAAAACTAGTAGTGGGGCAGCTAGTTTTGATTTATTCAGTTGATTACCTTTTGTAATTGTATTACCTTTAAAGCATTAAAGAACTATTCAACAAAGATATTATATACACACATGTATAGCAATGCAAAGTAATGAAACTATGAAACTTACCAGTATATGCATATTTGTTATTTTCGATGTAATTAATGTTGAACTATTCTTACCAAATTTATATTATAATTTCAGTGATAGGAAACTGGGGTTTATTTTAAAATAGTTCTATTATATATATATATATTTTTTTGGAAAGGTACTTTATTGTTGTTGTTTTTTTTGTTTTTTTTCATTTATTTGTTGAATAGTATAAATATGTTTGAAACATCAACAAAACTTTAACTACAGAACACTAAAATTTAATACAAATATAGGTTGACTAATACTTGGGATATGTTGCAATGGTGTAGTGATTAAAATTTTTTAACTACAAAGAAAAGAAGAGACCCAATACTTTACTGAGAACTGTAATTTAATCTCAGTATTTCCTGTAATAAGACAAAGCTTGACACTTAATTCTGCACCAATTATGTACAGCTACAACAATAAAATATTTCAATTTTTATTGCGATCAAAGGCATTTAATCACACTTAACACAGCATTATAGGTAATATTTATATTCAAGTATAAGATTTAAAAACCTAAAAAGTTTTAAGTCTTTTAATAAAGAATAAACATACAAGCCTGAAATGTGTTAACTACATTCACAGCCATAAGATAACAAATAAAACAGCCAAATAAACTTGATAATGACTGAGCATTTTTTAAATTATACAGTTTTTTTATTGTTTGTATCGCGTAATATTTTCTTTAACACTTTCTGGAAAAGCTGCAGTAAGATATTATGCATTATGATCAAAAAGAACAATTACAGGTCTGAAACTTTATATCACTTGGCCCAATAATTACCTTCAATCACAGTGAACAAAATTATATCCTGTTTTTGATGCTTTCATTAGTTATAACACCTCAACCTATCAATACATTTATCAGAAAACGAATTTAATATAACTTTGTACTATGATGCTTTTAACAATCCCATTTAAGTAAAGAAAACACTAAAATATATTTCCCTAAGGACAAAACTTAAACTTTCAGTGTTTGGTAATTATCATGTGCTTTAGACACTATGAAGTAACTAAAAATTATGGTTTACAAACATTATATACATATATTATGCAATGTTGAGGAGGAAAGCTCATCATACAAATGAGGGAATAATGGATACTTTATTTTAAAAGATACCTCTAAATTGGAAGTTCAGAATAACATTTCACAGCTATTTTGTAAACAAGACTACACACACACACACACACACACACACTAACAAACAATGTGTTTTAAGATTATTTACACAGTTAAAGTGTTTCCTTGAAAAAGCCTTACTGAAGTACAAAGATAAAAAAATATTTCTACCTGGTGTCAAGTCATATTATTTTTATCTTTCAAGCATAATATGGTATGTAAGAATTATAAGGTAAAAACATGATTCAGACATCAACCTGAAAATATTATTATGCAATGTTATGTAACACTCAGATACATAACTTTGAATTTATGCTTTAGTGGCCAAGCGTTTACAGTAATTAACATTAAGGTAGAAATCATGCCTTTATACAAGAGAACTGATTTCATCATAACTGCACATCTTTTATTCAACACTTAAATATAAAAAATAATTATTAATTTGTAGCTTTGAGTACAATTTTGAGCCTTTACTTATCAAGAAATATGGTAATACTGATTCATATGGAGTTCATTAGTTTCAGTTAATTTACAGATGAGATAATATGTTTATAATACTTTATCTTTAAAAATTCATAATCAGACACTTATAATGGTTATTTTAAACAACCAGGTGATACTTTGTTACTAATTTGCATAAAATTAAGTAAATCAATGACAATGTCCAAATGGAAAAAGTTCTAAGAACGTCTAAGGATGAAATATAAGCCTAAAGCAATGTTGGACATTTGTCACCATTTGTTGGACCATTTCCTTCTTCTTCTAATTTACAAAAACGAAACATACAGAAGGCTACTCTTCAACAGAATACTTAAAACCTAATCTAGGTTACAAATACAAAGAAAGAATGGCACAAAATACCACCTGCAGGTGTGTCTGGTTGGTTAACACGTCACCTTGATTGCTTTATGAACCATACTTTTTTAAGCTTTTCAATTACAGAGCTATTCTCATTTTATAAAATAAGTTATTAACTGTTCTAACATATATATATAACAATTTAATATAAAACTGAACTTTTGAAGTTTAGACTAATGAAGAGTTCTCTTTCTTCCAAATCATTTGATATGTAGGTCATCTCACAGTAAATACATAAAAAAAAACCAAATACAGTAGTTCTAATAGTTTCTTTGTAATTTCAAATGTACATTTCTGAATACCATGAGTTACTTTTTATTGAAAAATTTTCTTATAATGACAGTTTGCTAACATTTAAAACCATTTTCTTTTAATCAGTCCTCAAGAAAGGTAAACTTTCATTACTCAAGATATAATGATTAAAAGTTATAGTCCCATCCAGAGTTGTCATCTGGTGGAGATCTTTCCATATCAGGTGGGTAGTTATCAAAGTTACTGATGTCTAATGCATCTTTTACCTGTAAGAAATCATTAAAAGAATATTGATTACTCAAGCCTATATCAACAGCTTTTCTATTGTTACAACTACAAATCTTAACCAACAAAATTAGGTCTTATTTTAAGGACTCAGCTTTCATATACACAGCACAATAAACTGAGTGAATGGTTCATAAACAGATAAGGAATAATAAAAAAGATCTAGCCACTGAAAGGCTATCTTAATTTAATAACCTAAGACCACAAAAATAATTAACCTAGACAAGGATACTAGTTCCAACTTCTATTAAAACTTAGATTTGATTCTATTTCCTTTTACTCACTGAAAATGTATTTTCTGGGGACAATTTACTCAAACATACCTGAGGTATAATTGGTGGAGTAAGTGTTCTGCTTCGTAACCCTTCCCAGTTGAAGCCATCAAACCATCTTAAAAACACAAAACAGTTATTTCAACTGTCATTATTGAAAAAAAAATCAATAGTAATATCACTATTTATTTGACAGCTAGTACATTAATATACTACATATTACTGTTGTTACAAATACCATTATGTATGATGAAGTTGAAAAAATGTTCTGGCATAAATATGATTTAATATACATCAACAAGCTATTACATTAATTACTTCATTTTAAAAATGGAATGGCATTCAATTAATGCTATCACTGAAAGACCAAATTACAAGATTATCACACTATCTTTAGAAATAACAATAACTGAAACATAAAACAAAATTATAATATGTTCATATCTCTATGTGATATAATGTTTTGGAATGCAGTAATTTCACTAAGAGAAGGAATACAGAAAAAAAAGGAGTACCCTTTGGGTCGATGTGTTTTTCAAGGAAAGTATGTGCTCAATCTACCTGTGCCATTTACATGATTATTTATATAATACAAAGGAACTACTTTTCATCAACAGTTCATTTTGGCTTGCACAAAATGTATTGCTTATTGTACGATATGAATATAACTTCACTGCACTATTCTGCCTATCTATATACATTCATATGCTTTTAAGACATTTGCACACACACTCACACAAAACAGCATAAATTGAAGAAAAGAAAAATATACCTTTACAAATTTAAAGATAAGTAAAGTGAACTGTTACAATTATAAAGAGAAAACAACAAATATATTACTGTGCAAAAAAACAAATTGTCAGTTTACATTTAAAGTAAATTAAACAAAAAATATCTTTATATATATTTATAAAGAAAGAAATATTCTTGTGAGTCATGCAAATTTAATAATATTTTAAGCATTTCTTTCAGGTGGGAACATTTTGTGATACTGTTCTGAATGATCTTTCATGGATGCAAGCAGATCAGACTTTGCTCTGCTGCTGAATGATGCAAGATCACAAGAAGGAAAGCATGCACTCTATGTTAAGTATTTATAGCCAAATGAGAGTCTTTCAGGCAAGTTTATTCAGTTAAACCCTATAACTGACTATCATGAAATTATTCATGATATTCAAAGCATGCAGGATTGACAGAAGAAAGTTAACACCAAAAAAGAAACTCAACAATCTGAGTACATTCGTAAAGTAGACTTTTTTTCAACTGGGACAAATGACATTTTATGAATGTTGATCAGTTACACGGTTGTTGTACTGGAAGTAGTAAAACATCATGCTTTTTTAGGAAGTTGATTTAAACTGTAAAATGTGTAAGTGATAGGAAACAAAGAAAAGGAGTAGTTATGAAATTATAATGATTTACAAGAATATTTTTTGTGCAAGAAGTAATATCCAGAACAAATTGGAGATTTATTCGACAAAAGCACTGAATGATAAAAGAACTGGAGTCATGAAATGATAATAATTAAAATGCTGATCCAGTAGGTGTTTTTTTATTTCTGTGGTTTTTGATTTAAATCCAATTTCAATACCAATGAGAACCATGTCACTGATGGAGTGTTCAGGCTGATTAAAGTGTAGGGCAACAGAAATGTTTTTTTTTAGTCTTAAATTTAAGGTATTCTAGTTCCAAGAATTGAAACTAACAATATATATTTCAATGAAACTGATTCATTAACTGTATTCATTAAACAAACAGTAACCCTAAAATATTGTCCATAGTATAATTTGTATTTAGTAAAAGCAAGGAAGATATTGAAAGTTGTAACAGATTAACTAAAAAAAATTGAGTGTTTCAATGAAACAACAAGGGAATTTAGTGTGTGTGTGTGTGTGTGTGTGTGTGTGTGTGTGTGTGTGTGTGTGTGTGTGTGTGTGTGTGTGTGTTATTATTAATATACTATTAATTATATAGTAGTAAGTATATAGTAAGTAGTAAGTAATAGTAGTAATTAATTA